CTAGCACTGCTCTGTTTGATCACACAGTGAGAGAGCAGCTAGTGACCACAGCTATGCATAAAAGACAGATGCAGCTATGATAATGTCACCCAAACATTTGCAGTGTCCAGTTTTTAAAGTCTTAAGTTGAGCATTTTGGTCATCATCAGCTTAGCTTTTTGAAACCAGTCAGTTACAGGACAGATCCACCCTAAAGCTCTCCACCCTTCTTTCTTCTGCTTTTGGATTCTGATGAAGTTTAATATACAAACTAAGCATCATAATGTATTAAATAACACTGAAAACTGAGTCCTCTGGGAAGTGTTTACTGTGGTCACGCTGGTCTTTATCATAGACTTCTATAGCCACACTTCCTTGTTGCAGCCACAGTACTGACCCCATGCTGCTCAGAACAGGTATTTGTTTTTATTTCCTATATGGTCATTTTGTCAAGTTTTGAAAAAAAATCAAGCACCTCCAACCTGCTCGGTTTCTCACTTTTGGCTGTTTAATTACTGATGAAGAACCGGAGCCTTCAAATGGTATTCGGTGCCGCCCCGTTCTCAGGCACTCAGGCGAGAGATGCCTCAGGTATGTGAGTGACTCCAGGTCACTGACTCTTGACCCCTGAAAGGTCGCTGGTTTTAGTTTGATGTTTGCATTCAGCTAATTTTGCCTTTGTTTCACCTGTGAAGGTCTCCTCACACTACAAGTCACATCTAAGATCTCACACCTCGTCTGCACAGAGTCCTTTTGCATGTGCCAAAATCTGAGAGTCCCAGTGGGAAGCTCCTGCTTCTTATGCCACCTGTTATCACAAGACTATCAATGATTGATCACATGATAACAACCACCAGTCTACAAACACTCTGATAGAGCAGCTCCACCTTATGTTGCTACAAAAATCAGAAACTTTTCTACATGACGTATGAAGCTGAAAGCAAACTGATATTTGTTCAGAAGAAAATGTGACAGATATGATTCTGTTTTACTCGTTTTAATATCCAGCACAGATCGTCCTCCATCTGTCCCGCTCTGGGATTAGTCAAAGTCAAAGTCAAATTAGTTAGAAAGCGACTGCATTTTGTGTTCGAGATGTCAACATGGTCATATGACTTCCATATTAATCCTCTACTTAAGTGCAGTCAAAGAGCAGGATGTGTTGAAATGCAAATCCTCAGTGAACCTGTAACAGGTCAAACTTTTATTTTCCACTGCACAGAGCACACACTCAGTTTCAGTAAAGGAAGAACTAGAAATGGACTAATGCACACTTAGGCTGATATTTGACTCTGTGTCAAGCAATCAAATATTGTATCTGTTATCTTTACTACAATTTTTGTACTTCAAGAAGATTGGCTAAACAACAGCTGGAGCCATTTTCAAGAGGCTTTAAGGTTTTCCGTCTTTATGTTGCAGATTAGCATC